GAGTCATAATGATGACAGATATTTCTGGCTAAACTGCTGCAGGTGAGTTAGGCTGCATTTTTTTAATCTTATGAAACAAGTCATCAGGACTGTCAAATCTATCTCCTGTGCTCCCCCCCTGGATTTGCTTCCAGTTCGTTAAACAGATTGCTGTTGTCACACTGCACAGACTGAACATTAGACACCTGTGATTACACTCCCAGATATTAAATGGAACAGAATAATTGTTGCACGGTGAGGGCAATGTTGAACACTGTTGCTAAGCCAAGCATGGAAACCTTCATGAAATTATCCCTTTGTCCCCTTCACATCAACAAAAACTTCATGCTTTCTCTTCTGCAAGCTCAAACAAACTGGCCTCTTGTAACCAGCGTACAGACTAGTGTCATGGTCCCTACCCTGGTCCGGTCAACGCTGCTCAGTCTGCCCCTCTATCTTTGCAAACTACAGTATCTCTCTCTCAGGCCCCTGCATTTATATGGAAGTCTTCTCAACTGGTGTTCCTCAGCTGTCCACCAGATGTCCTCAGGCTTTCCCTCCTGTCCCAGTCACCTGACCTTCCCCGCCCCCTCACACACCTGGTCCCAGCTTCCCAGTAATTCACCTGCTTCCTGTCTGATCATATTATGTCACATTGTCCTTCATGCTACATGTCCCTGTTCCTGCCTGCCTGCCTGCATTTGGATCTGTTGTGACAGGTTAGAGTTTTATATATGTGAAACTTTCTTGACAGAGTTACTCTGTATGTACGACTTATACAGTTGAATTAAAATAAACTTAATTTGGTGAAGCAAATGAGAAAAAAAACAGGTTTAGCTGTGATGACACTATGCGATTTTGCTAAGTTGTTAATAAAGAGAATAATAATTATGGCAACAACCTCTTTTTTATATGAATTAGTTGGCTTTTTTCTACATGTAATTCAGTCAATTGAAGCTTCGTCTTAATTCAGGCAGAGCTCGTTAGCTGATCAGCATCAGCTGTTTCATTCATGCTTCATGATCACTGGCTCATTCATCAGCTGACAAGTAACGTCCACTCATATTCCTTCAGGTGTAAAGAGCAGCCATTATAACCTGACACTTTCTTTACAACCCTGTTTACAGCTCCCTCAGTCACCCTGACCTCCTGCGAACGTGCTACGTGTTCGCTTGTGTAGATTTAATTAAGATTTAAAATTCATGCATATGTTTATTAATGGAGGATTCATTCTGCCAGTAGAACCTTTGCTGCTTGGAGCCTTTTCTTACAAATATTACTGTATATACATCTGCTGTTTACGATCATTTCCTTCACATAAATGTCTGTCACTGTTTTCATCATATACTTGTTAAACCGCACCTATTCAAAATCTATACTATTGCAGGTCTACATTTAAACAGACTCTACTGTATTTTAGCCTACATGCAAAGCAGTGCCACGCCTCATTTACATTAAAAACTATAGGGTTTTGTAACAGTATCTTCTTTCACTGAGTTTTACAAAATAAACCAGCTTATCAACGTATAGCTCAAATATACAGCAACACCAGGGGAGTCAACTTGTCACTGAAAAGAAGATACACTGGATTATTTTTCACAGACTAAGATGGATCCAGCTGGGGTCAAAGGTGACATGCCGCACTTATTTTAGGAGTGACAGGGCAACTCTTTTCACTGCACTCTTTTCTCTTCGAGTTGAAAATGCTGAGTTTACATGGGACGTGTGTCATAGTGTGGATAATGTGCACATGTTTGTATATCTAGCCGGGGTTTGTTTTCAGGGAATGTACACCAGGCGTCTGAGGCCTTTACGCCAAAGCAAGCTCAACGTGCACAGGGTATCTTTTCGTCATGCGGCCCCACTGCGCCTAACATTGGCCGTCGTGGACAACTTGTATCACGAAGCTGGTTATCGACTGGATCAGGGTTTTCCCATCCAGCTGCAAGCGTGCTCATGTGAAAGAGGCGGAGTTGTTAATTGCAAGCAACATGGTCAGAACATGCTTCATCCCTCCACCGAGTTACGTTTAAATCGGTTCAGTACTTTTTGCCAAATCCTGCTGACAAATAAACAGACATGGGTGAAAACATTTAACAGGTATTAAGCATTTTTATGAGCTTTGCGACAGCTACATGCAGCGCACACTGAAGGCACTGCTAGAATTCATGCAGTGCTGGCATTAACCAACATGTTAGTGCAGTAATCTTCATGGTTTCAACATCTCAGGAACTTGACAGCAACTCAATTTTGAATGTGTGTAATAGTCTTAAGGAGTTTCATCAGCATTTGCTAAATATAACTCACTCTTTTTCTATTCATATGCTGGGTGTCAAAGAGGAAGCTGTGGTTTGAAAAATGAGGAAAGATCGTTTATTTTCTTGTGTGTCTGTCAATAATACAGGAGACGGAGAATATTGTGAATCTGTCAGCTGTAGCATGTCATATAAGAAATATATATATATACTCAAACTGAAAGAAAGCATTAATTCTGCTCAAATTAATGAATGTTTTCATGAATAACATAAACAGAAAGTGTGTTGTCTCAAAGTAGAGGCGTGTGAATGACACATCCTATCCTGTATTTGTCGCCTAAGCTTCCAACAAAGGTGATTAAGATTTGATTCCCTGAGCTCTGCACTTAATAATTTATACATCCTCATAGGTGGTAATGACCAGCTATTTTGAGCATCCGCTCTGAGCACCTTGAGAGCTCTCCCCTGGACCAGTGGCTGAACGGTCACGACTGGCAGTCGGTAACAAAGTACCAGTCCAGCAGGGAGCTGCTCCAGTAAGCATCTCTTTCTCAAGCCAAGAACCGCAACTTGGCAGCACTGATAGGAAATTGATCAGATCCAGTGACTTGTGTGTGTAAATGATGGTTTAGGACTTCAGCCTGCAGCCATAGGGGGATGTAGTAATACAAAACAGAACAGTGTGTGTTGCCTGAGAGAGCTGACAGAGCTGAGGGGGCAGTAGTTGAGGTGAGATATGGCCCTAAACTCTCTGTCTGTCCCAGGAGGGCTTTGAGCCTCTTGCTAAGCATGCAGTACTGTCCTGGGCTATTTACAGAGGTGACTTATGCAGGCTAGTGTAAGGTACACTCTGCCTCTGAAAGAAGACACTGCTGCTCTGACAGGGGGAAGATTGGTGTGGTGAATACACAGGCTGACAGTGGGGCCCAGGTGCAACGACTGTGGGCAGAGTCCTTTAGACTTTTCTTATCCAATAAGAGTTTCCAGAAGATGCATAGTGTATTTTCTACTGTTGACGGATAAAGCAGCACCACTGATCAAAGTGTAAGTGCCTGGCTCAAAGGCTTCTCAGCAATAGCTGTTGACAGAGGAAAGATTCATTCACTTGCCCCCAATGTACTTCGCAGACCCAGTGGCCTCTTCTCTATTTACTAGAGCCTCTGGTTAACTGCCAATTAAACTGAGCTCTAAATATGATGCATCGCATGTGCTGACAAAATCAACACTGCAGCACTTGTGTGTCATGATAGCACATTAACAAACCATTTAAAATGCTCTGTTAAGTCCGTATCGTCTACTGGCTACAGTATGTTTTATGTGCCATGTTGTTATTTTGCTCATTTTAGTGTTGTAAAAAGATATGATGCATAACGTGTGACAACTGTAGGGCTATAACTACAGTATGGGCTGTTGTGTTTATTGAGTATGTGTGTGACATAAGCCTTGATTCAATTATATCAATAACGTCAACTCTGTGGAGCTGCATATAAATATGAAATCATATAACTAATGTAAAATAAGTAGGTAACAGAAATGCTTTAATTTTCACTTTAGACATGGTTAGCAACAACCACCAAATGTATTGTGTAAAATGTATTATTGTTTTGATTTGAGTGCTGTGGGGTGAGGGACTTATATATTAGAAACACTTAAGTAATATAGTCCTAAACGGGTTAGCATGTTTGGTGTAGCTGTATGCAGAGACACATCATCATTTGACTTGGGTTTGACTTTTTGATTCCAGTAATTTCCTGGGAAACCACAAAGATGGCCAATAGTGGACATTAATGATGTGGGAGGCTCTTAACACTACAGTAGCTATATGAACTGGGCTAACCGAAGTAGCTTGGTGGAGTAAAAGGCCGGGGAATGCTTGCCATCCTAAAGAGGAGCAGGAGGTGATTTCGTACAGACTCTCCTCACAACCCTGTCTCCTAAAAGAAATGTAATTACTGCCTCGATTATCTCCCAGAGAATCAAATGCTATATTTATCTACTGCACCGGAATCACTTAGAGGTGTTTAGGTTTGAATGGTGGTCGTACAAAACATACGATTTTGACACCAAAGCCCAGAGTAATTTCTAGGAGTCGGGGTTGCTCCTCAAAGGCGCGCATAGTGATGCGTGTGTTTGCGCACACAGATCTTGTGGAAGTAGTTGTGTGATTGTGGGATTGTCTGTTCCAGAAAGTTACAAAAATGTAACGAACAGCTAGACACTTAAACACCCTAATAATTTAACCAACCGTGGTCCAGTTGTTATTAACAATGCTGCATTTTTAATTTCTTTTTCCGGATGCTCAACAGGTTTTGTTGTTTGTGTTCAAAGGGTCAAGACGAAATGACCCAATCACATCTCTTAACTGACAATCAGACAGCAGGTGTTCACCCATCAGTTTGACATATACTTCCCTCCATCTTGTTCCTCCTGATTCGCCATTCTCCAACCTCCCTCCTTCAGGTCCGCATCTATCCATTCACACTCGGCAGGATGCCGTACCTGAAGGGTCCACGGATGCCTCAACTTGACCTCGCCGGACACACCGCACTTGTTCACCTGTTTGCCTCCCTCCTCCTCATCTGTCAACAACTGTAATCCTTCTCATCTGAAAACCTAAGCGCAAAAGCCACAACTGCATCCGGGAATCCCCAACCGGAGCCAAATTCTCCATGTGAAACCCTTCCCTTCCTTCCCCTCTTCCCACCGTGACCCTTCCCCCACATGGGCAACAGATCCATCCTGTGTCATGCTTTGGCAGAGACCCACCTCCAAAGCCAGCTCCTCTATCTGAAACTGCTTCATGGCACTGCGGTTCCCGTCAACATTTTTGTGGTAGTAGATCACCATCACATCATACTTCTTCATGATGGACTTGTAGTTCTTGGCGCTGAGGGCATGGACGCGGTCTCTTCCGTCATACTCGGGGATCTCCAAGCCCTTCTCCCCCCAGGACAGGGTCCCCAAAGAGAGGAAGACCGCCAAAAACACCCAGCCCCACTTCATGGCTATCGTCACCTGGTGGCCGCAAGAACGCCTCTTCTCAGAGCCTAAACTGTTGACGTGGGTTGGAAGGGGAAAAAAAAATACACGTCAGAGGTTTAACGTTGTCCCTAACGCAGGTTGGTGTCAAACAGGGAGAGTTAGGAACAAAGTCTGCTTCCTGTCCCCACCGGCTAGAGAAGAGCAAGTCCCACAGTGACACCCTCCCTTTAAAAAAAGCCTACACGTGGTTTTTGCTGACGCCACTGCCCGCAGAAAGGGGCGGGGACCTTTTCGGGGACACCAATTGGTATGTGAGTAGGCAAGACACTGATCCCGCTCGTCCAAGAGCAGCGCAAGAGGGGCTGCCAAAAAAGCAGGACAGACACTGAGAGTGATGGGGGTTGGAGGGGGGGGGGGGCTCCAGAGCAGTGGTCAGAAAAATAGCAGATGGGTGGTAACATGGGAGGAGCCACGCTGAGGTCATACGGCCACCTGTTTGAAGCCGTGGCTATGAAAAGGGACAGTGGTTGTGCTGGGTTGTTTTGGAGAGCTGCAGATGCCAGCTCAGTGTCTTGGAGGACCGAAGGTATGGATGGATGTACGATGAGAGCTTGAGGAAAGGAGAGCTCCAAGATGCCATTCCCATATTAAGTTTTGCAGAGGAGCCGGACTCTCGCTAAAAATAAGGCCCTCAGCGAGACAACACTGTGGACAAGATGGCATCCACGGAGTCCACGCAGAGGGTCAGAGGGTAGATGTGCTCCATAAGCGCAGATGGACAGAGAGAGAAATGGAGACACAAAGTCAAGCTCGCATCTGTCTGTCTTCTGACTCGCACCCAGAATAAATCCAAGCATGACGTGAAATAAAAACGACTTTTTCCGTTTGTTGGCTGGGTTTCCATGCCACAACAGAAATCTATACAAAGTTCAAATTAAAAATCAATCACAATGGAATCACATTTATTTCTTCTCTGTACAGGATTCCTTCACAACTGAAACATATTCCATTTTAATGAAAGCTAGCTGGACTATTATTGTTTATCTAGCCACAATTAATAGTCTTGTGTATTGTGTTTTTGATTGAACTGCACCTTGAGGAATGATAATGACAATTGTTTGTGTTGTTATATACAGTGCATTCACATTGCATTTACTCTTTTAAAGTGGTAACCTTATGCTATATCAGTGGGTCTAAATAAGATTTCCAAAACAATAAAACTACTGTTGAGCTTGCAGGTGAATTATTTGGTAAAATAGTGGTTTGACAAAAAAATGATAAATAATAATAATGATAACAATAACTCAAGATACACTTACTGTATTCTGCCAGATGTTCCTGCCACATCTAATGACTTTCATCTGTGGATAAAGTTTGCTCAGTTGTCATGGAGATGGTTCGCTTGTCATCACATGGCCCAGGTATGGAAAATAAATAAAACAAATAAAACTAAAAACATAAAAATTGTTTTGGAGTAAAAGTCCCACGCCTCTTCTCAAATGAACAACTTTTGTTGTACACTTTTCTATTTTTTTTTTTAACTTTATTTGTTTCACACTTGAAATTTAAATCCATTAAATTACAAAAAGAAGATCATCCCAAATTGTGCAACTCGAACGTGAAAAAAAAGGAAACATTTGAAGATCATTTTTAAGATAACATTATAGAAGCACAGATTTACACTAGCACTTTAAAGAATATTGACTTGTCATGTATGTCGTATTTCAGCACCCCCGTCAGGCATGCATGCATGTGGAGTATATTTTGGAAGACCTGATGTGAGTGGAGAAAAGAGATGGTGACATGTTTTGAGAGAGAGAGAGAGAGAGAGAGATGCGAGCAGAGGAGTAGCACAGAGAGACTGAGGAGACAGTGTGAGATCATGTCAGCTATTAGTTTACAATGGGAAATGAATTGAGCACCGGCGNCAGTGTGAGATCATGTCAGCTATTAGTTTACAATGGGAAAGGGGGGAGCGTGGCTATTAATAACAGTGTGTAACATGATCGGCCTTCTCCCCCCTGCCAGCACGGTGGGTCAAACAGTGTGTGCATGTTTAGATGCCAGTGAGGGGTGTGTGGGCGCTGGGCACTGCTGAGGGTCTCTGCTGCACAGGACGGCCGTCGTGTTAGCGTGAGCTTTCAGATGGAAACATATTTGCCTCCTGGTATGTGGTGTGTAAAATATTAGACTGACTGTAGGAGGTTGATGAATTGAGCACCGGCATGTTGGTATTTATGAACCTTAGCTGAGAGGAGTTGCTGAGAAGCAGCGTAATAATGTGACTGTATTTGTTCTGCAAAACAATTCAAGTCATATTTAATGGTATTAAAGGGGCATTGCAGCAATTTACTATTGCACTCCCATAAAAACCATAAAGCCGGCAGATTAAAAAATGAACTCTTCTGTGACTTTAAGCATATTTTTGGAAGACTCTCACTAATGCTGAATATCCATTTATGTCAAACTCCATACCCCAGTTTTTAAAAAAAGGATTTCACATTCTCTTACTACTTCTACATATCTTCTACTAAACCTGAACAAAGGATCTCCAGACTAGAGTCACAAAAAACTGTTCTGACAGGCAGACCTATGTATGGAATGAGTGAAATATTCTTTTACATAAAGGAATTGAGTACACATATTCACATTGTAACAGGATATAGATATATATAGATATAGATATTGCTTTATGCTTGTGTAGTGTTATTTTTAATCCTTTTTGAAGTTAATTTTAATGTTATTCTTCATTCCAACCATAAACAATTACAGCTAGGATTAAACGTAACTTGTGATCCCAGGCAAAAAAAAAGAACAATACAAGCATGAACACATCAAGATAAAAGCAAAATATAAAATGGATTATTACAGATCTGAGTTTGAATCCAAGTAAAGTGAACGTGTCAGATTAAAAAGATAAAAGCAGTACTTACATGTACCCATGCTCAAACCTCTATAACCACTGTTTACAAAAGACTCATGGTAACAATCACAGTCAAACCTCCTGTTGCACCTATGTGGTAAACAGCTCCCTCCTCTGGCAGTTGCACTAATAAACCTTGTTGCTGTTGCATTATTACAAGTCCATCCTCTCCCTCTCAGCCCTCCTTCACCCTCTTCTCAAATCGACTCAAGCAAGATGAGTAACAACAAGCATCTGTGCCAGTGTTTTTTTTTTTGTGCTGAGTTTGTTGCTACGGAAACTGCAAGGTTGACTCAAACAGCTCGCTTTGTCAGATGAGAAAGCACAACACACACACACACACACACACACGACGGAAAATATGTCTCATGTAGAGGATGTCACGAGGTGAAACTGAAGCAAATTAAAGTCCATCCATCAGTCCCAGTTCATGCAGATTACATGTTTGTGGTGATGTGTCTTTGTTTGGTGAAAAGGTTTTTTGAAATTTGTCAAGCAGACATGAAAAATTGTAATTTTATCTCAAGGTACATGCCTGTTTCTACTCTTTCAGACTAGTCTTTATTATAAATAAAATGCTTTACACACCTCAGTTCAGACGGCAGAGTCTTTAATGATTTGTCCCTTCATAGTGAGGATTGCATTGGTTCTGGTTGGAGATGGGCAACCTGCAGCACATCTGCGCAGGGCGATGAAAGCCCTACATGTTGTACGTCACCTCCTCCGCCGTGGCAGAGGGTGAGAATGTGACACGTCTGAGTTAGGGTGCTAATGAGAAAGAGAAAGAGGCTCTATCACGGGGAGAAGGGGTTGGGGAGAGGGGGAAAGGGGGGGGGCTGCAAGGTGTTATGTGAAAAGAGAAAATTAGAGCCAAAGAAATGAAGGAACAACGAGACGTGAGGAAGATGGAGAGAGAAGTTAAATAAGGGAGGTGAAAACAGGAAAATGTGTGACCAATAACTAGGCAGTAGTTGATGTGTATAATCAGAGCAGGGTGATTACACCTGGTGGAGAGGAGGCGGGCAAGCGCTAACACTCACCAGAATAATGTAAAATGAGCACACATGCATCAGACACACGCAAAATTCTTTGCAAATGTTTAAAAACAAAGGGCAAAGTGACAAAAGCTCTATACAACATGACATTTGTTTTATTGCTGTAATATGTGTGATTTAAAAAATAAAAGTGTTTAGTCGTGGCACATAATATTTCATGAGAAATGGCGAGATGAAAAGCCCCTTAACTCTGGTGATTCGAGATGCACAAGCGTGAGCGCTGCAGCTGAAAGTGCAGCTGATCTCGATCAAACAAAGAGAAAAACTTACGAACCATGTGGAGAGAGCTCGACAAAACTTGCTGTTTGGTTCCTACATGTATAACAGAAGTATCCCACAAGCAGAAACTCATGCCATCAACCTGTTGCACCAACATATAGCAACAGAACAGATTTAGGATTTGTCAGACTAGCACTGTGTCAGATCTGAGTAATCTGCTAAATCAGAACCAAGTCACAACCCCACACACACACACACACACACACACACACACACACACACACACACACACACGCACACACACACACACAGACACNCACACTCACACACACACACAGACACACACACACACACACACGCACACACACACACACACACAGACACACACACTCACGCACACACACAGACACACACACACACACACACAGCCACCTCCCACCAAGACCAGCCTGGCCCTGGTGCACGCTCCCTCCCTGTCCCCCACCCACGGTCCGTATGCACTCTCTCCCGCACAGACATCGATGTGGCTGAAAGAAAAAAAAAAAAACAAGAAAAACAATCACAGAATAGAAACAGACTGTACTAATGGTTCAGTAAACAAATGAATGGACAACATAAATATTCAGATGCACAGATAAATGTTAAATCATTCAAACACACACACACACATGCACACACACAAATCCCTCTTGATAAAGTAGTGGGTTGGTACTCTGTGTGAAACACAGGCCAGCCTCTCAGTACTGGTGTCCAAGCAACCAGAAAGGGCAGCAAAGAGTGTTTTCTCTCTCTCACACACAAACAGGCAGACAGGTATACAATATCCTTGACGCGCAATTTTGTATTATTAAGGGCTTAACATTTCCACAAGAATGTGCAGTGGCTGGGATTGGTCTTCCAGGTAAGACACTTTGAATGGCTGTCAGACTTCACCTGTCTTCCAGGATGGCACTCAGCTGTGAATAAAAGGCCAGTGCTGTTTTACTTTACTGTGGTGTGGAATAAAGCTCAAGGCTTGAATTTGCCTCAGTGTAAAACAGTTCAGGGGGATGATGAATCACTTTATGTCTCTTTATTTTTTACAAATCAT